TCACAGGCAGGTACAGCACTCATGTCCGTGTTTGTGTGTTTGTATGTGCTGTCTGCGTCACTCATAGCACGTGCCTATATTGAACATTTTTATATCGTTATCGAAGAAGGTGTACCGTCGATAAATATCGATACCGTTTTATCGCCCAGGCCTATACTTATAGCAAATAGATTCACTATTTATTTATTTATTTATTAATGCAAATGATTCTGGATCTAATCATATACAAATATGAATCGACTATAGAATTTTCTATTAATATATATTCACTTCTATTGCCTTCTAGTGCCATTCACTTCTTGCCATGTAGTAGAGGCTTTTATCCAAAGTTACCTAAACATGAGGAAATGCATTATTAAATATCTTTGAATTTTATTTCATTTTAATTCCACATCCTTATTTCTGCATTCTTTTTGCTCAAATTCAGGAATTGGATTGGAATTCAAAAGCGTTTTCTGTTCAGTTCTGAATGACACACAACCCTGTACTGTGTTCCTCTTTCTAACTGTCTTTCTTCTCATATGTGTCTTTCCTTCTCTTCCCTTCTTTTCTTTTTTCTCTGCTGCTGACACTAACGTCCCTCAGACTGGCACTATGAGGGTAAGACTGCTTTCTTTCCTCTACCACATCATGAGAGGCTTCTCACTTCTCTTTCTATGACTCTACTTATCCACCCAGTAAAATCATTTAACACTGCTGCATTCATCATCTAGATGTAATCTCAAGTGAATAAGATACTGTATGAATGATGTGTTGTGATGAAGGTGATGGCAGATCTGAGTCTGACTGTATTTCTCTCTTTCTGTTTCTGACACAGAGTGTAAGTTGTCACGGTCGGGTCCACCTGCCACAATCGTCACCATTGATGAGGAAAGTCCAAATGGTAAGTATCTCTGGCCTTGTCTCCTCATGATGAATCTGAAGCATGCTGCTTCCTGTGAGCTGTCTGCTCTGCTATTGATCGATGTTTGGCAGGGGGCTTGTTATAACGTTCATTTAATTTTTCATGGTGTAATTCAGGATTTCCCAGATGGGGTTCACAAAGCTCTTGGGGTTCATGGAGATTGAGATAGAAATGTCAGTGTCATATGCAATTAAATGAAAATGTACACTACCGTTCAAAAGTTTGGGGTTGGTAAGATTTTTTTTAAATGTTTTTGAAAAATGTCTCTTACTCACCAAGGCTGCATTTATTTGACGAAAAATACAGTAAAAACTGTAATATTGTGAAATAGTATTACAATTTAAAACAACTGTTTTCTATTTTAATATATTTTAAAATGTAATTTATTCCTGTGATGACAAAGCTGAATTTTCAGCAACATTATCGATCTTCAGTGTCACATGATCCATCAGAAGTAATTCTAATATGCTGATTTGCTGCTTAAGAAACATTTCTTATTATTATCAGAGTTGGTAACAGCTGTGCTGATGAAACATTTTTCTGAATTTTTTAGATGCATTTATTTGAAATTTTTTAATTTTTTATTTTATTTTTTTCTTACAATTTTGATCAATTTAATGCATCCTTGCTGAATAAACATATTATTTAAAAAATTGATAAATACATAAAAAAAAAGAATGGTAGTATATATTTTTTGTGTGTAAAATCATATGAGTTACATACAAATAATGAGTCGTAATGGTGCTTGCTGTCATTCCAGATGTGAATCATACCCAAAATCCTTCAGCATATAGAGGAGAGATGTGCTTGTGCTATTACTTTTCAAATGGATTTTCACCTGAGAAATCATAAATCGTAAGAAAAAAAAAAGAACGTTCACAATCCCAAACCCTTCACTAGTTATTATCCTGAGCTGTGACGTCAAATGCAGCAGACAGGTAACATTATAAGTCCATTTCACGCTTTTAAGAGCTTTCCAAAAAAGAAATGGGTACTGGTTAAACATCTGCTATGAATTATTTGCAATTTAAATGTTGCTTGCAAAAAAATGTATTTTGTCAGAATACACAGTTACTTTTGAATGGCCCTCAATAGAGAAAGATGCTTTTGAATGGTGAAGTTACAACATCTACCAGCAGTGCCTACCTATGCTAACTTGCTCAACTGATAAAAAGGTTAGTATAATTGATCTAATGTGACTTAAAAGTGAATTTTCAGATGTTCAATTCAGGCTCAAACTACCCTGGTGTCATGCTGCAAGCTCGACAGACAGTTACCTGTTGCTTTCTTAACTGAAAATATGTGTGTGTGCTCTCGCCGGAGCCACAGATGGTGTTTTTGTGTTGGAGGCACGCTGGGGCCGTTTATCACATAAAAATGTACACTACCGTTCAAAAGTTTGGGGTTGGTAAGATTTTTTTTTAAATGTTTTTGAAAATGTCTCTTACTCACCAAGGCTGCATTTATTTGACCAAAAATACAGTAAAAACTGTAATATTGTGAAATAGTATTACAATTTAAAACAACTGTTTTCTATTTTAATATATTTTAAAATGTAATTTATTCCTGTGATGACAAAGCTGAATTTTCAGCAACATTATCGATCTTCAGTGTCACATGATCCATCAGAAGTAATTCTAATATGCTGATTTGCTGCTTAAGAAACATTTCTTATTATTATCAGAGTTGGTAACAGCTGTGCTGATGAAACATTTTTCTGAATTTTTTAGATGCATTTATTTGAAATTTTTGAATTTTTTATTTTATTTTTTTCTTACAATTTTGATCAATTTAATGCATCCTTGCTGAATAAACATATTATTTAAAAAATTGATAAATACATAAAAAAAAAAGAATGGTAGTATATATTTTTTGTGTGTAAAATCATATGAGTTACATACAAATAATGAGTCGTAATGGTGCTTGCTGTCATTCCAGATGTGAATCATACCCAAAATCCTTCAGCATATAGAGGAGAGATGTGCTTGTGCTATTACTTTTCAAATGGATTTTCACCTGAGAAATCATAAATCGTAAGAAAAAAAAAAGAACGTTCACAATCCCAAACCCTTCACTAGTTATTATCCTGAGCTGTGACGTCAAATGCAGCAGACAGGTAACATTATAAGTCCATTTCACGCTTTTAAGAGCTTTCCAAAAAAGAAATGGGTACTGGTTAAACATCTGCTATGAATTATTTGCAATTTAAATGTTGCTTGCAAAAAAATGTATTTTGTCAGAATACACAGTTACTTTTGAATGGCCCTCAATAGAGAAAGATGCTTTTGAATGGTGAAGTTACAACATCTACCAGCAGTGCCTACCTATGCTAACTTGCTCAACTGATAAAAAGGTTAGTATAATTGATCTAATGTGACTTAAAAGTGAATTTTCAGATGTTCAATTCAGGCTCAAACTACCCTGGTGTCATGCTGCAAGCTCGACAGACAGTTACCTGTTGCTTTCTTAACTGAAAATATGTGTGTGTGCTCTCGCCGGAGCCACAGATGGTGTTTTTGTGTTGGAGGCACGCTGGGGCCGTTTATCACATACAGTATCTGCGTGAAGGCGATGCTACACCGCGTCATGCATTTATAAAGGAGCCACTTGCCGCTGTAGTGCTCAACCATGCGTTTGACAACACTGTCTGTTTGTTGATGTGACAGGTGTTGGCTACTCCGTGCGAGTTTACTGTCTGTTTCCTTCTTCCATCCTTTTTTCCTCTTCATTTCCCTTCTCTTTCTCTCCCTCCCTCCCCTCTGCCCATTCTGTGGGTCATAGAGTTTGTTCAGCATCGGTGTGTTGACTCAGGAAAGTGCATCGAGGCAGAGGCCTGCTGGGAGATGTAGTTGAAGTAATAGGGAGCAGTTAAATTGATATTTTGCTCAGCCTGTTTATGTGTTTAAATAATTAGTTTGCTTTTAGTTTCTCGCTCTAGCAGACTATGATGAGGCAAAAAAGCCAAAGGGACCCTCTGGGCCGCTTAAGCAAAACAGGGAACAAGTGTATCACTGTGTTGAGGCAGTGATTCAAAAAGCAAAAGAGACAGACACATTTACCTGCATATTATTCAGGTGATGGTAATTCTGTTTCAGTGAATATTTTATTGCAGGCCTCCTCCAGTTTGACTAATAAAAGATGTTTGCATCAGCTCAGATCTGGCAGTATTTTATAATGCACAAAGGTTCAACAGTAAGGATTCAGTGCAGATTTCTTCTTGTCCTGTTAATGTTTTCAACTGGTTCCAACACATTTTTTAATGACTTTAAAATTGTATTTTTTTATGTGGTATGTTTTATTGTTTTACTTTAAAATAACTTTTATGTTTATTATTTAATATTTAATAATAAATAATTAGGGTGGCCATATGTGCCATTTATACGGGACACGTCCTGGCCAGGATTTTTATATTGCCTAAAATATCCAAAGTAGTTTGACCAATAACATGCAGGTATTGTACATAATTGACCAATCGTGGTGCGTCGTGCGTGAGAAGGTGAGAAAGATCAAAGCGATGCAAATACGCGCACGTGTTTGTTCGTTTGACTTGAAGCTGCGCACTGATCGTTGTATGACACCAAAGTACCGCGAGAGCGATTTGAAAGAATAAGGAGCCGTCTGCTCTGCTCTCTATAGCTCTTGTGAAATCGACAAGGCCGATATATCGGCCGATATTTGGCATTTTTCAAATATCGGCATCGGCCGATAAGTTTTTCTGTTTGGCTGATGCGGTCGTGGCAGCGCCTGAACACACAGTGCTCACATTCTCCTTCTTGTTCGCCGTCGTCATTAACAGTTCTGTCCACGGACAGAAGTCTGTCTAATAATAAGATAGAACTGTTAAAGGCGTGGTTGACTGGTTTTGTTCTAGGCTTGATTGTGTTTATGGGGTGCAGTCTAACATGTGTTCATGTTTCGTTTTTTTTAAAAACGCATTATTTTTCACATAATTTACCTTTATTCTTCACCGCTCTGTCCCTTCTCTGAGTAACGCGCTGATCATTTGCTGCTTTTATGAAGCCCCTCCCTCAGAAATACGCGATGGACTCTGATTGGTTAGCTATTCCAGTGTGTTGTGATTGGCTCAACTAGGGGTGTGCGATATTGACAAAAAATAATATGTCGATATTTTCTGGGATTTTATCGATGACGATAATTAGACGATATTTTGCTGAGTGTGTTACTGTGCTGGTACCTTAAGGACTGCCGAAGACAGCTGACTCATAATGTTTTTAATATTCTTCATATTCTGTGTGGTGGTCAGTTCATACTGATAGAAATTAATCTTTTCCAATAAGTTTAAACCGATTTTTACACTGTATGGGCATTTTTACCTTTATAAAGCCATTTTTTTCTAGAAGTGTCCATTATCTTTTGAGTCAAATTCTTACATTTAATCTGGGAATTAGAATAATAAGACATTTGGGCTGTTACCAAGCAAATTAAATCAACACAGAAGCTGCATCTGAAGTGGCATTTAGATGTATTTACACACATGTATTTTGTTTAATGCAAGACATGAATGCATTTAACCTGCAATTACAAATGCATAAATAATGTTTTGAATGTCTTGAATTTGTGATCATTCTAAATGCATTTTAATAGACTGAATCATGCAGTGAAAGAATGCACTCTAAATGCACACGCACTAGTCTAGACTTCAAGTAATGTATGCGTGCGCTCTTTGCACACCCCTAGGCTCAACCGCCTCTAGTGCATGTCTAAGCGTCACGCCCCTCAGCTCAGCCGGCATGTGCTCCGGTTGTATTGTAAACAATGGCGTCGTCTATATTGCTTATCAATTTGATGTTTCTTGATTACCAAATCAGCATATTAGAATGATTTCTGAAAGATTATGTTACACTGAAGACTCTAATGGCTGCTGAAAATTAATTTTTTCATCACAAGAATAAATTGCATGTTAAAATATATTAAAAACAAACTGTAATATTTCATATATTCATATATATATATATATA